ATGGGCCAGCCTGTTTGCAATAACGTATTTAAAAAGTGAACAATTAACCAATCAACCACACTTTCTATCGGTTTACCGGCTAATAAACCACGCGGGAATTTGGACCACAGGAGAAAAGCTTGTTAACCACAAGGCGTAAACTTTTCAACCTTTCCCTTGCTCAGTAGGTGGTAGTTTTAGCTGAGACATATTTGATCACGTCATGCATTAAGACCAATCGCGTGCGAGCAAAAATACTTGATGAATTGTAAAGGTTTATACCACAGTGCAATCAAAGAACATTCCCAACGACTAAATAAAGTAAATTTCCTGGTCATATTATAAAAACCGCCTACCAGGGCAATAAAAGCAGTTCCCTTCGTCTTGTGTAGGAATGCTTGGATCGCACTGTTTTCCACCACAACGTCGCCTGGGGTTTGTACATGTTCTGTACCTTCGATGCTTACCAGGTTCGCATAATTTGTCACATCTCCCCCATTCACCCCACTCAGTTAGTCCGCCATCCACTGAATTCCAAAACAAATTAAAAAAATACAACGGGTAAAAAGAAATTATTTTCACACAAAAACCAAAGATATAGCTATTTGAACAAAACGCCTATCTTAGGGATTAATATTTCAGTCATAATTGATGAATTATTGAAAAAGATAAAAAAACGAGCCTTATCTCCCTAACATCGGACCGGAGCGTCCATATGAAAACTTTTCTTGACTGAATAAGCTGTCGAACGCCAAAAATGATATCTACGAACCTGGGTAAATCCACCCTCGAAGAAACAAAACTCGACTGTTAAAAAGGAGACAGTGCTGAAGGCGATAGTATAAGACGAAACGGCCTAGTTTATCGAGCTTCTACGGAGGGGTCTTTACTGTATCTACGGTAATACCTGGTTTTCTTTCCTCATCACAGTCATCCTCATTTAGCCAATACCAGATAACCCCAGGATTTCTCATCCCCCCAGCCCAAATCCAATCAGACGGAAACCGGTCGGGGCCCCCCCAAATGATCGAACCCGACGGGTAGTAGGTGGGACTGTCAGATGTGGTCAGCAGAGCCATGTGGTGAGTTCCTTTGGCGTCAAACCACGGCATTCTCTTGTTTAATGAATTCCACCAAGAATACTCCCAACTGTTAAACTTCCTCGTTAGGTTGACGTGGGTTTGCGAAGAATCCGATGCCATGAAGCTTTGATAAACAAATGAAATATGAAAAACACAGTGTGTGAATAAATTAGGGTACGTAAATACCTCCGATTTTGGAAAAAATACAAGGTATTACAAATTTTCTTTGAATATAAGTATTCAGACCAATACAATCCTACTACTGTTTTCCCACCTGTAGGACTTAGGAGCTTCAAAAATCCCTCCCCAGTGACGTCTAGAATGAGCATCCATCATGTACTGGAATGTGCCATTGTTGTTCAGGCTTTTAATACTGTCTGCTAAATCTAAGATGGAGTAATCTCGATTCAGTCCTGGATAAAGGGCATTTCTAGAAATGAAAGGAGAGATATCAACAAAACGCAATCGGTTTTCTTACTCAGCATATACTTTTATTTTCCCAACGGTGTAACGCTTGCGCTTACTTAGATAAATTTTCAAACGCATCTACTATGTATATCGAGACTAGGAGTGGCAAGAAGACGATATTAAAACGAAAGGTATTAAAAATTTTTAAGAAATTATTTGGCCAAATCCTGCCATATTATTATATTATGGGACTAAAGGAAGACATTTGCCTTACCGCGGCTTCCGCTTACCATAGGGTGAATAATTGTTTCAGTACAGTATCATATAAAGGGAAGATCCCCCAAAATTAGTTTATTTCTGTTGATACATCAAAAATAGTCGGATTTTAAACTCTTTAAGCGCCATTTTGTCTCTTCTCTGCAAGAGGTTAATAGTACTTGCCAGTCGTTTCCGAAATAGCCTACTAATGAGCGCGAAAAGCTTTATTATTATTGTTTTTATTGTTATCATTATCGTCATTTCATCTTCTCTTGCGATCTAAGAGCATTTCCACTTTCCCTTTAACAACCACCAACGCATTACAAGGAACACGTCACTTTGGGCCTCAGCTTCGTATCTGATTAGTCCAAAGAACGCAAGTATAATATGCAATTACCTGTGTGGGACCTGTGCCCGAGTCCAATTGTTGTGAGCACTCGTCACTATAAGAGTGAAACCTCCTTTAGCAGTTGTCATATCGCAGTAGACCGGGAGGTACTGGGTATCACTGACTTTCATCAGTTGGAAACTATCCTCGCCATACTTGTTACCAGCTCTCATTCCGTGTAATTTCAAATCGTTGCAAGATAACCTGTCCACAAACAAATGACTCTAAATTATTGCAATAGACGATGAACACGATAAACATCTGAGATTTTGGTAACTTTGAGATGTTATAAAGAAACGCTTTCACGAATTTATCCTGGCCTTTAAGCTGGAAACATAATTCCCCTGTCTAAAACGGTATTTTTTTTTTGGTTTTTTCGTAACTAGAGGTCGCAGAAAAACTTTAAAACATAAAGCTTGAATTTGAACATCTTTCCTGTTATTACTGTATTTGATCACGACGAAAAGTCGAATTTTTAACAGGCAAGCATAGTTGCTATGGATAATCTCCAAGAAAAGTGTAAATACAGCCTTAAGTGTACAACTGGCAGGAAAAAATATGTATATAAATACATACATATATTTCAGATCGTGGTCTGCACTGATTACGTATACACATAACATAAATTCACCTCGCTCCTTCTCTCATCCAGTATCTCACAACACTCGGGTTTGGCCTCTCTTGCTCCAGATACGAGGCGGAGCTGGCGCCACTGTTATACACCAAGGACCCTGACGGTTCATCCACAGTTGACGCACTGCTTAATAACAGATCTTTAGATAATCCCAGTCTGGGCATGCGCTTTCCCAAGTTGCTGTTCTCGTCCCACGAGTCGAACTTCTTTACGATTTTTACTTTGGTTTGTTTGTCGCACGTAGATAGGAATGTATAGTCACGTGGTGCTTCCCAGATCCCTCCCCAACGGGTTTTGCCGTCTGCCTCAATTCGGTATTGAAAGAATTCCTGCTTGAAGACGAAGTTGAAGAAACACGACGAGTTATGGAAGATGGAATCGAAAATATTGCCACTCCATGATCTCATGATATGACGGGGAAACTAGCTTAGTGGTGACTGGCAAGAGTTTTGAATCTCATTAGTTGAGATGGCGGCACAAGGTTAACAGGCAAATCACTAGTTACTGTGAAAGAAAACCGTAAGCAATTCCGAGTTATTTTCAACACTCAGTGGAGAATTGAGGGACAAAGCACTTAGGGTGATTTTTTTATGGGCATCAATTCATATACTTTTCTACAAATTTACCAAGTATTGACTTTAAATCACCCCTCAGCCGCTCAGACATCTAACGACTTACCTGAGCTTTGTCAGAGTCCTTTATGGCGTCTGCAAGCCCCAGTATGGAATAGTCATCTTGTAAAGAAGGTTTGTCTGAGTTCCTTTTTTTCATGTTGTCTTTATTCCACCCACTGTGGGTCTTGCTTGTCACAAGTAGTGTCCAGGGTCCTCCTTCGGTCGTGAAATCACAATACGTTTTAACTTTTTGCTGTCCAGGAGGTTTAATTGCGAAAACTCCATCTGAAAAAAAAAATACATTTCAATGCAGCTGCAGTTAACTCTTCATGTGAAATTTAAATGAGGTGTAATCAGTTTGACCAAATATATATTAAAACACAAGAACAAGGGAGTTAGTAGGAAGGTAATTTTAAAATTCTTTATTTGTATTTATTTGAATGATATTCACATACGTACATGTAAAAACCAGCCAGAACGGAAACAACTGTCAAAACGAATTAGATCTAAAAATATTTAAAACGGTCTCCAATATGCGAAAATACGAGTAACGCCGTTAGTTCTAATTTGTGTTTTATTGCTTGAGGAGTTGGCAGGATTTGTTTCGAACAATACCGATCGTAGTGAAGAAAACAAAAGCGATACAATCTCGAAAGTATTGAACGAAATTTCAATTACTGGATTTCCCGGTAATTCGTATCAAGACTTACCTGAGACAGGGTTAGTCAGCAATCCTCTGAAGAACACTTCTTTACAGGAGCCAGGCATATTAAAAAGCCCCTCTCTCATCCAGTACCAGATATACGATGGCTGACTCTCCATAAGGTGACCAGCAATCCAAGGTGCAGGGTGGTATTCCTTAGCGTCCGCTTGAAAAATCAATCAAGTTAAAGCATGAAGTTCAACCACGAAAGTTTTGTTTTGATCCAGTAGTAAGACATTCCCTACCTTTGACCCCTTTTCAATCCAAAAATGTAATGTTTCGATTCTAGGTAATGACCCGAAGGACAATATAACAAACTTTGGTTAGGGTTTGATGGCAAGAAATTGATACTGGGGAAGATATTTCACTAACTCTATTCTTTTCGAAAAATTGTGAAAAAGGAATTAAGGTTGATGAATTATGGAACCATTGAAATCATAAATCAAACGCTTGAAGAAAATGAATCTCATGCAAAAGGAAAGCTGTATCGTTATAGAAAGCTCTTTTTCTCCAAGTTTTCCATGTCATTTCCGTGACTATCTCAAAAATGGGGTTTGCCAAAAGAAATAAACAACAACAACAAACAATGATATTGTTTAATTGTACAGAGGAGAGTTATCGCTTGTGTAGTATAGATTGAAGGTTATTTACCTGTTATTGTTCCCCACCAGCTGCGATAGGCATGATGGGATGTAGTTAACCTGGCATCAGAAATCCATGGCATTCTTTGTTCAATCCCACTGTCTGAATATTCCCAATTGTCAAACTTCTTAACCAGCTGAATATTCGTCTGTTTGTTGTTGTCAGCTGTGAACGTAAAACCTCTGGGCGC